GTTAGAATTTATTGTTGTATCGTGTAATCATGGCTTTTTTAATTACGATATAAGCTTCAGTAGCCAAGGGTGTAGTGAAAACGTTTTAAACATTTTTGGGGATATATCTTTACTTGTGTTCAGGATTACATCTTGACTGTAATCTAAGTATAGTCTTGGTAATAAAACCTATATTCGACGATATTTCTAAGTGAGTTGCTCCCTTGAGGATTTTCATTGATTAGAAAATATCCCGTCCGAAGCCCGACCTGCAAGCGTTCCTCAGGAAAAGGGCTGATTTTCTCAAAGGAAAATGTGACTTGATTTGCAGTTGTTGTAGAGGAAACAGAGCGGAGCGAGGATTACAACATCTGTTTAAGCCTAGAACCCATTCATTCTCCTCTACATTTTATTGTTCAATATTAATGTCGTTGTCTAACTCGTGTGTTCCTCTATTGTTTAGTTTACGTGCAGCATGAAATATCATTTAAACAACTTAGCGTACCCTATTGCATGTGTTGAAATAAATTGTAGAAAATATTTCTCCTGGAAAGGAAAAAAGCGACAAGGAGAGAACAAAAACGAGAACAAGAATAATTAGAGAGGGAGTTGATTACTAAGGATCATAAATCACGAAATATTAAGGGAAACTGTTTTTGAAATACCTTCACAGAACTATTTTCAATAAATCAAACGGGGTAGGACATAGCGCTTATTGAGCCAGGTGGCAGCTCTCGCAAGGTCTCACATGATACTGAAGTTTGCTACACTTTGAAACTCCATAGTGTTAGTAACAGCCATAAATATAATGGTACCCTGCATAGCCTTTCGGAAAAATTTATAACATTAATCAATAACAATGAATCAATGGTATAAATTATACTCCTTTATAAATATATTTCAATTCCGGTTTCATCGTGTTTCCAATCATCGAGCCAAAACTTCGGACTGTGTTCTGAAACATATTTACTCGCTCACTTTTACCATAAGAGTCAAGCAACAAGGGTAATTCCAGATCTAGTTGCTGTTAAGTTGATATAGATTGTTTTTCTGTTTTCCCAAAGTGATCTCAAGATAAGGTACATACCAGTTTAAGATTATGACACTTTCAGTGACACATCGTTGATATCAAAAATTTTACGGTTAGCTTCTTTACGACTAACAGTACAAATTTGTCGATTTCAACGCCTAGATTTTTATTTCGTTTTACGGCGACAGTTAACCCCATTAAGACCCTCATTTAGTGGCCTACACTTGAACCCTTTGGACACGTACATCAGTGCACACATTTTTGTTGCCAATTAAACTGAAACGTTTTTTGTTTGCTCAAATCGAAAAGTGACTCGTTTACTTTGTGTCCCTATGACAACTGAAGTAAATTTGTGGGCGTAGGAGCATGTGAGTAATCTTCATTGCACTAAACAGATATAACTTTGGCCTCTAAGTTCCTTGCTTTTCTTTCGTTGTGGGGGGGGAACCTCTTTTAAATACTTCCAAACTTATCGGTTGTGTTAAAACGCTCTCATTCTGCATAAATGCACATGCACCAAGGATCATTTCCAAACGACGGAATAGACACACCATTAGAGTCGTCAGCTTTAGAAACTACGGCATTACGGAAGCCAATTCACCTCATCAACTCAGTTTGTTCAAACCAATATAATTACCTTGTAATATCCCCCACCAACTCAGCATTACAGTTTCTTTGGAAGCTTACCCCCTTTACTCGGATCTAGTTCATTTCTGATAGTCACAATGTATTATTTAGGTTCATGCGGCGTATTGTCCATAGTAAACAGGCTTTCCTATGTAAAGAGAGGGGGGAGGGGTGGGGGAGAAGCTAAGCCAAAACTCGTATCTGTATGTTACTTATTTTGCACACTTTCACAACCGTTGATGGATGGCTAAATTTGTGTCTGGGACCTGTGAAAAACTCTTGACTTGGGATTCAGTTTTTCATAAACCACCCCTTCTTTAACATCAGAAAGACAGGTTTCCTGTATCTGCTCGAGAAATCCCCTCGCTTTGAAATAGAATAGATTCAACATAATCTATCTCACCACTGCAGATCCTCTACGTACAGTCCGTTGTCCAGAGTAACCCCGGCAGATTTTGATATTACCATATGTTACTGTTATAGTCCCAATCACAATTTTAAGTCAACCACCGGACAATTTCCTTGTTTAGCCGTCGACCCGGCTAAACAAGATGGCGTAGTTTACAGGATTCCCCGTGAATGGGGCAAGGTATACATCGGAGAGACTGGAAGACCTATGCAAGACAGAATTAAGGAGTACGATCGAGACATTCGACTCGCCCGTACCGAGCAAATCACTGATCAGCAAGGATCGAAATACACCAATCAGAGCTGTTGAAAAACAACTAATCACAGCAGAGCATCATGCTTTATAAGATTACGCATGACCAGTCGACCTCAGTCAGTCGGCCTGAAGAAGACTAGCATTATGCAGTCCAAACGTCGCGATCTACATCACACGTGACTACATCGTGAGACAAACGAAAAACTTACCTTTATTGCTATTCATCACGATGAATAACCACAACCTTTTCTACGAAACTAGATAATAGTGTTAGGGTGTAACTGGTTAAAGTATACACCATCAATAACAGTTATTCGTTTTCATGAGGAAAATCAACATGTTGATTGAACTAATCATTTTCCATAAGCGGCAGATGATTTGATAAACGGTTGTGTTCGTTAAAGAGGTCGTTAAGCGAAATCCAAACAAGGTACTGTGCTAATCAGGCGAGAGACCCACGTGATAAAGTTTCAAGAGCATCAAGATTTTCCTCTAAGTTAACGACATCCGGACCTACCTTTGAAAAAGACATGCCTGCGGATTCAGTTGTTGCTTTTCAGGAAAAGAAG